TGGTGGAGGCCAGAGGTTGATGCAAGGTGTCTTCCTCTAGTCACTTCTCCACCTTACTTTTTAATTTTTATTTTCTGAGACAGGGTCTTTTTCAATGAACCTGGAGCTCACTGATAGCTGCCTGGCTAGCAAGCTCTAGGAACCGTCCTGTCTCTATCTTCCCATTGCTGGGTTTATAGGCATGTATTGTTATACCTGGCTTTTTACATGGGCACTGAGGATCAAACTCGGGTCCTCATGCTTGCATGACAAGTACTTTACTGACTGAGTCATCTCCCTAGCCCTCCAGATTTCTTTCTCATTATGTTTGTTATTAGTATAGAAGAAGGCTATTGAATTTTGTTAATTTACTTTATATCTTGCCATTTTGAGAAGTTTTTTTTTTAATTTTTAATAACTACTTGATTAGAAGAAGCATTTCATTACAGCTTTAACATATTCAGTAACACACTCCAGAGCAAGAGTACATCTCTTTCACAAAGTGGCTGTAAGTTTCTAGGTTCACAGTTGAATTAATACAGTTATACAGTATTGAACTCAGTATAAGCCCTGTAAGACATAAAATTGAATGAATTTTTAACCTTTAAAAAAAGATCTCCATTTCATTTCGGAATATATTGTTTCTTACAGAAAGACTCATTGCTTTTGCTACTAACATTGAGATGTTGGCATATGCATCTCTAATCTGTATGTATCTGATTATTACTAGTCCTAATTGGTTGCACTTGGATCCTTGGCACCTGTGTGTATCTATAAAGTCATCGGGTAGATTTCAATGGTAATGTTTATCACATCTACTAATTGGCATGACATAAATTTCCATGCTTCCTCCTCAAATATAATACATTTTAAAAAATTTGTTGACTTTGTGTGTGTGTGTGTGTGTGTGTGTGTGTGTGTGTGTGTATCATACAGAACATCCCAAACCATCTTATTCAACTATACAATATACACCCACTTCCCAGTTGGCACCCTCCCATAGCCTCCCTCCCCCCACTAGAGCCCTTATACTCTGATATCCCTGCTACTGTCTGCTGTGTTGTTGGCACCCCAGCCATTCCCCACTACTTGTCCATCTGGTGAATCTAGTCAGCCTATCTAGAGGTCTTTGTTTTAGGAAGGTCAGCTGTTCCTCATCTAGCAGCAATCAGTTGTCAATATTCCTTTAGCTAAGATTGGGATCTGCTCTTTATTTTCATGTTGTGTTAATGGAGGAGATTGGGTCTGATACATTTTCTATTTTATGGATTCTGCTACCTTGAAACCAAATGCAAACATCTGCCTAGCTTTTATCTCTCTTGTTCAGCTATAGTCTGCATCTCAAATAGCTGCTTTGATCTTTTATTACAACTTAAGATTTCTTTTATAGAACAATTACTAAGTCCCTCACTATGCATGAAATAGATAGATGGTGACTTAAAAGTAGCAGTTAGGAACCACTTTAACCATTAATATGGATGATGTCCAGGAAAATACAGTGAAAAAAAAGTTAAATGATGGACTGTAGAGTAGTGTACAGACACCTAAGTTTATGCATAGAAACTTTGTCCTACATCTATTTATATGCATCTATTTTTACTTCCTCAGTTCAGAAAAGTTAAGACTTAGAACACTGCACCTCCCTAAAGAAAAGAGAAAAAGCCATATTTTCTGTCCCTCTAGACCTTAGACATGGTTGGGACAATTTGTCCTCACTAGTATTTTCTCTTTTCTGACTAACTTCCCACTGTTTAGGCCTTTGCTTCTCACATTTTTTAGGGGCAGTCTCTTCTTGAATTTTTTGATGTATTATGTGCTCCTGTTGTATCCTGGGCTGAGCTACACTAAATTATAATTAGTATATCTGTGTAAACCAGTATTTCTTGACTAGGGCCTCCCAGGAATATACAGCAATCTCTGAAATACATATTTCACAATTCAGGGATGCTATTAGCATTTAGTGGAAAGAGGCTTCTGGTTAACATACTATAGTATGAA